GCAAACAAAAGCCCAAGCCTGGACGGCTTCACAGGGGAATTTTACCGAACATTCAAAAAAGAACTAACACCCATTCTCCTCAAACTATTCCAACGAATTCAAGAAGAAGGAAGACTTCCAAACTCGTTTTATGAGGCCAGCATAATTCTAATTCCAAAACCAGAAAAAGACACTACAAAGAAAGAAAACTACAGGCCAATATCCCTGATGAACATAGATGGCAAAATCCTGAACAAAATACTAGCAAATCAAATCCAGCAATACATAAAAAAAAATTATTCACCATGACCAAGTGGGATTCATCCCAGGGATGCAAGGATGGTACAATATTCACAAATCAATAAATGTGATACACCACATAAACAAAATGAAAGATAAAAATCATGTGATCATGTCAATAGACACTGAAAAAGCATTAGACAAAATCCATTACCCATTTCTGATAAAAATGCTCAGCAATGTGGGAATAGAGGGATCACATCTTGATATAATAAAGGCCATGTATAAAAGACCTACAGCCAACATACTCAATGGGCAATAACTAAAAGCATTTCCCTTAAGAACAGGAACAAGACAAGGATGCCCACTTTCGCCACTCTTATTTTTATTTAACATAGTATTGGAAGTCTTAGCCACAGCAATCAGACAGGAAGAAAAAATAAAAGGGATCCAAATTGAAAGGAGGAAGTGAAACTGTCATTATTTGCAGATGATATGATACTATACGTAGAAAACACCAAAGATTCCATCAAAAATTTACTAGACTTAACAAATTTGGCAAAGTAGCAGGATACTAAATTAACGTCAAGAAATTGATTGCATTCTTATACACAATGACGAATTCACAGAAAGAGAAAATAAAAAAACAATCCCATTTACCATTGCGGCAAAAAAATTAAGATACCTAGGAATAAATGTAACCAAAGAAATAAAGGACCTATTCGCTGAAAACTACAGGTCATTGAAAAAAGAAATAGAGGAAGATATAAAAAAGTGTAAGCACATACCTTGTTCATGGATTGGAAGAATTAACATCATTAAAATGTCCATACTACCCAAAGGAATCTATAGATTCAATGCAATCCCCATCAAAATACCAACGACATACTTCACAGAACTAGAACAAATACTTCAAAGGTTCATATGGAACCAATAACGACCCTGAATAGCCACAGCAATCTTTTTTTTTTAATCCTCACCTGAGGACACTTTTCCACTTTTTGTTCATATAGAATAGGAGGGAGAGAGAAGAAGAGAGAGAAAAAGAGAAATATCAATGTGAAAGGGACACAACGAGTGGCTGCCACCCACACAACTCAACCAGGGCCGAGGACAAATTGCAACCGTGGTACAAGCCCTTAGCTGGAACCAAACCCGGTCTCTCTGGGCCACAGGCTGATGCTTTAACCGCTGAGCCAAACCAGCCAGGGCAAGCCACAGCAACCTTGCAAAAGAAGAACAAAGTTGGAGGGATCACATTACCAGATTTTATGTTATACTACAAGCCAGTGTAATCAAAACAGCCTGTTTCTGGCACAAGGACAGGCATATAGATCAGGAAAACAGAACAGAGAACCCAGAAATGAACCCAAGGCAATATGCTCAATTAATATTTGACAAAGGTGGCAAAAGCATACAGTGGAGTAAAGACAGCCTCTTTAATAAATGGTGTCGGGAAAACTGGACAGCTACATGCAAAAAAATGAAACTAGACCATCAATTTACACCATACACAAGAATAAACTCAAAATGAATAAAAGACTTAAATGTGACTCATGAATCCATAAAAGTCCTAGAAGAAAATGTAGGCAACAAAATTTCAGACATCATATGCAGCAGAATTTTCACTGATACATCACCTAAGGCAACAGAAACAAAGGAGAAAATAAACACATGGAACTACATCAAACTCAAAAGCTTCTGCACAACAAAAGATACAGTCATCAAAATGGAAAGGCAACCCACTGTATGGAAGAGCATAATTGCCAATGATATATGAGATAATTTCCAATATATATAGAGTGCTCATACAACTCAACAAAAGGAAGACAAAGAATCCTATTGAGCCCTGGCCAGTTTGGCTCAGCGGTTAGAGCGTCGGCCTGCGGTCCGGAGAGACCCGGGTTCGGTTCCCGCTAAGGGCACGTACTTCGGATGCAGTTTGTCCCGGCCCTGGTTGGTCGTGCGGGTGGCAGCCACTCGATGTGTCCCTTCACATCGATGTTTCTCTCTCTCTCTCCCTCCCACTCTATCTGTACGAAAAATGGAAAAATATCCTCGAGTGAGGATTAAAAAAAAAAAAAAAAAAAAAAAAGAATCCTATTGAAAAATGGGCAGAGGAACTAAATAGACACCTCTCCAAACAGGACATACAAATGGCCAAGAGACATATGAAGAAATGCTCAACATCACTAATCGTTACAGAGATGCAAATTAAAACAACAATGAGGTATCACCTCACCCTGTCAGAATGGCTGCCATCAACAAATCATCAAACTACAAGTGTTGGCAAGGGTATGGAGAAAAGGGCACTCTAGTACACTGCTGGTGGGAATGCAGTCTGGTGCAGTCACTATGGAAAACAATATGGTGTTACCTCAAAAAATTAAAAATTGAACTGCCATTTGACCCAGTGATCCCACTTCTAGGAATATACCCTAAGAAGCCTGAAACACCAATCAGAAAGAATATATGTACCCCCATGTTCATAGCAGCACTATTTACAATAGCTAAGATCTGGAAACAGCCCAAATGTCCATCAGTAGATGAATGGATCAAAAAGTTGCGGTCCATATACACAATGGAGTACAATGCAGCTGTAAGAAAGAAAGATCTCTTATCCTTCGAGATGACATGGAGGGACCTGGAAAGTATTATTTTAAGCAAAACAAGCCAAACAGAGAAAGACAAGTATCATATGATCTTACTTATTTGTGGAATATAATGAACATAACAGTCTGAGGAATGGGGTAGTCCCAGAGACATGGAAGTGGTGTACAGACTGACAATCCCCAGAAGAGGGGATGGTGGCGAAGAGATAAACCACAGAACTTATATGCATGTATACATGAACAATGGACAACAAAGCTGGGGACAGGGCAGGGAGGGGACAATTAGTGGGGGGGAAAAAGAAACATCTGTAACAAAAATTAATTAATTAATTAATTAATTAAATAATAAAATTACAAAAAAAAAGTCACTAAATCTTTACAAGGCCTTTCCTAATAACCTTATTTCAAACTGGATCCTTGCCACCTCTAGCACTCCTTGTCTCCCTTCCTGATTTAATTTTCTCCATAGTATGTCACCTTTTAACACACTTATTTCGGTTACTTATTTAGAGTATCGCCTGCCTCTTCCCACTATAATGTGCCACCACAAACAGGAATTTTTGTTTGTTTTGTTATACAATCCAATTAGAATAAAAAATTATAAATTATTGCCCTGGCCAGTTTGGCTCAGTGGTCACAGGGTTGGCAAGCAGACCAAAAGGTTGCAGGTTCCATTCCTGGCCCTGGTCAGGGTTGTGAGGGAGGCAACCAACTGATGTGTCTCATATCAATGTTTCTCTCTCTCTCTCTCCCTCCCTTTCTCCCTTCCACTCTCTAAAAAAAAAAAAAAATCAATGGAAAAATATCCTCAGGTGAGGACTAACAACAAAAAAATTATTAATTTTCATTTATATTAATTGAATCAATGTTCGTGAAATACATTTCTTATTAAGGGGAATTACTCGTAATGCACTCAAGATAATTAGAATGGTAATGAAAACCAGATAGCAGAAAATATGTGAATTAAATTGGCTTTTCTGGACTTATGTTGGATATCAAGGTAATCACTAGGATAGTAAGCCCCATGAGGACAGGGATTGTAGTCTTCTATATAAAAAAGACTGCCTAGCACATATGGGCCTCAATAAATATTTGTTGAAAGAATAAAGGAAGAGAATCCTGGAAGGCAATACCATTATGCACAGAAAATAATCCATTATTCCAATGTAGTTTATGTATTTTAATTTACCCCAACCTACTTCCAAAAAAGGAACTGAAGCAGTTTAGAATAATCATTAAATTACCGATAGAATATATAGAATTAAATAAAAAGGAGAAAATTAATTAGGGGAGCCATCTTAAACTAAAAGTTGCTAATTTTCTTGTACAGTTTACAAAGTTTTAACAAATGCCAAATTATTTTGAAAATATTTTTACTCATTGTATAATGGCAATAATTTTTTATGTTGCTACACTTTTTACAAATATCTACAAAATACTTAATTATGTTGATATTATTTCCTTAATATTTCCTATATTGTTGGATATTTATTTATTTATTTATTTATTTATTTTATCCTCACCCGAGGACATTTTTCCATTTTTTGTTCAGGTAGAGTGGGAGGGAGAGAGAGGAACAGAGAGAGAGAGAGAAACATCGATGTGAAAGGAACACATCGAGTGGCTGCCACCCGCACAACCGACCAGGGCCGGGGACAAACTGCAACCGAGGTACGCGCCCTTAGCGGGAACCGAACCCGGGTCTCTCAGGACCACAGGCCGACGCTCTAATGGCTGAACCAAACCGGCCAGGGCTATTGTTGGATATTTAGATTGTTTCTGGTTTTCTACTTGCAGTAATAGCAGAAACAGAAATATTCAGAGAATATTTTTCTTCTAGATAATTTCATCCATCATTTATAAATCTTACCATGTGTCATCAAACTGCTTTCCCAGGATTGTACCCTTACACTTTTCATTAATCCTATAGGCTATACCAACTCTACAGCATTCTCATTCTGCAGTGAGTACCAGAGTTTCATTTATTAATTCACTGCTTTTTCCTCTTGTTCAAGAACTTTCATTATAGAAAATGTAGAAAAATAACAAAAAGAGAAAAAAAATACATGACTTAACTCTCACTGTTCCAAGGTAGCCCGAGATAATCCGAGATAAAATAGAGCACACATCCTTTTGTCCTTACTAAAAATTAAGACTGGCAAAACTTACCATCTTCATACTGTTTTTTCCGAGTTGGACTTTTATCAAGTGATCCATCTAGAAAGCCTTTTCCAATCTCAGACCAAACCTGAAAATAGGAAAACATACCTACTATCTAATATGTAGATTTTCTAAATAATACCAAGCAATCTAAGCTAATAATTGAGGAGCTCCCATCTTACCAACAGAACTGATCATTAAGCTCTCCCTTTAAAGTAAGCTACATAATCATGTACTCATAGTGTCCAAGAATAGAGCAAATATATTTTAATAATTTCAGTCAAGACACTTTCGCCAGTTGGTATGGCTCAGTGGATTAAGTGTCATCCTATGGACTAAGAGGTCCTGGTTTGATTCCCAGTTAGGGTACATGCCCGGGTTGCAGGCTAGATACCCAGTAGGGGGCATGCAGGAGGCGGCTGATCATTGTTTCTTACATCAATGTTTCTCTCTCTCTCCCTTCCTCTAAAAAAAATCAATAAAAACATATTTTAAAAAAAGACACTTTCAAACTAATTATAACTGACAAGTCAAAATTTCCTTTCTGCCCTGGCCAGTATGGCTCAGTTAGTCAAGAGATGTCCCATGCACAGAAATCTCCCTGATTCTACTCCTGATCAGGGTATATATCCAGGTTTCAAGTTCAAGCATGGTTGGGGTGCATGTAGGAGGCAACCAATCGTTGTTTCTCTCTCTCTCTTTCCCTCTTCCTTCCTCTCTAAAATCAATAAAAACATATTTTTTAATAAGGAAAAAAAGTTCCGTTTCTTTAAAAGGTATGAGAATGGGGAGGAAAAGAACACGGCAGCATGGTCAATTCTCAATTTTTTATTATAATGGCACCAGTGGATAAATAAAATCACAGGGAATTCATTGGGAATTCCACCATTTACTTCATCTGGAATACGACAGATCCAGAAAAAGGTTAAAAACTAGAGTAAGATTGCCCTGGCCGGTTTGGCTAAGTGGGTAGAGCATCAACCCGTGGACCAATGAGTTGTGGGTTCAATTCTGGCCAAAGGCATGTACCTCGGTTGTGGTTCATCCCCGGCCCTGGTTGGGTCGTGTGGGACACAACCAGTCGACGTGTCTCTATCACATCGATGTTTCTTTCCCTCTCTTTCACCCTCCCTCCCACTCTATCTAATGATAAATGGAAAAATATCCTTGGAAGAGAAATAAAAAATGGAAAAAAAGAAAACTAGTCTAAAATTCGGAGATAGTAAACAACAGAAGAGACTTCCAGTTATTTCAAAATTGGGTAATTAGCCCCTAAAAAAACTTAAACTTGTTTATCATTCAAAAGTTTTAAAGAGCCCTGGCCGGTTTGGCTCAGCGGTTAGAGTATCAGCCCGCAGACCGGACAGACCCAGGTTTGGTTCCTGCTAGGGGCATGTACCTCGGTTCCGGTTTGTCCCCAACCCCAGGTGGGGTTGTATGTGTCTCTCTCACATCAATGTTTCTCTCTCTCTTCCTCCCTCTCTTCCTCCTGTTCTATCTGAAGATAAATGTAAAAAAAAAAAAAAAAATGTCCTTGGTTGAGGACAAAAAAAAAAAAAGAATAAAATCCTGCTATTTGCAACATGGATGGATATACAGGGTATTATGATAAGTGAAATAAGTCAGAGAGAGAAAGACAAACACATGATTTCACTTACATGTAGAATCCAAAAAATAAGCAAAACAGAACAGAAATAGACTCATAGATACAGGGAACAAATCAATGTATGCCAGAGGGGAGGTGGATAGGGGGATGGGTGAAAAAGGTAAAGGTGAGTAAGAGGTACAAACTTCCAGTTATAAAATAAGTCACAGGGATGGAGTGTATACCAGGGAATATGTCAATATCATAATAACTTTGCATGGTGATACATGGTTACTAGCCTTATCATGGTGATCATATTGTAAAGTATATAAATGTTGAATCACTGTTATTCACATGAAACTAATATATTATACATCAACTACATGTTAATAAAATATTTATTCTTTTAAAATAGAGAAAAATAAATTCCATACGTGAACCTAGAAAGAGCAAATAGCAAATCAATTTTAAACTGAATTAGCCTTTCTTCAAATCTCATTCCCCTCACTAGCATTTTAATGCTCAGTGGTTTTAACTCCTTTCTATATAAGACACAGTCTAGTTATATTAAATAGTTTTTTTCTTTTTCTAGGATTCAGTATTATTTTACAATATACTTGGTTAGTATTAAAAGAAAATTTCTTTAGGTATAATTTTTAAATTTCAAAAATAGTAAACAAAAGGTAATTCTTAAATTTTTAAAAGAAACAACAATTATCTTTGTTGGCATTGTTGCTTTTAGCTCAAAACAAGGAAATGCTGTACTATAAAATCTTAAACCTTATTCTTTTTTTTGAGAGTGGAAGTGGGGAAAAGAGAGGGAAACATCAATGTGTGAGAGACTCGTCGATTGCTTGCCTCCCACATGCATCCCAACCAGGCCTGGGGTTGAACCTGCAACCTGGGCACATGACTGTGACCAGGAATCAAACCTGAGACCATTCCAGGCACAGGCCAAGGCTCTTAACCACTGAGTCACACTGGCCAGGGCTTACACCTTATTTTTGAGAGGCAAAGTCTGCATTATTTAACTATCCAATTTGATGAGAAAAATTTTAAATTTGCCCCTAGACTTACTGTGCCATGATTCTTCTGGAAGCGAATGACTTCCTGGTCATCTTCAAATGTACTACCCATTACCACCTGTGTAACAGACTTCATAGCAAAACCAAGCATATGCTGGCAAAGGGGTACATGCTGGGACTCTGGGTAGGAGAGCCATTTATCTAATAATTCTTCTGAAAGCTGAAAGAGAACAGAAAACCACAATGATTTATTGTTTCCTCTTGCTAAATCTTAGAGAAATTCAGCAAGTAGATTCATTTCACAGAGTACATAGCTCAACTCAACTCTGTAATCAAAGTAAGCATCAGGTGAATCAAAGTAAGCATCAGGTGATTAGTTAATCTGTCAGACTCCCATTGGCTCCACCTAAAATTACATCCTTAGTGATTCAGATTCAGATTCTGTCAAAGGGTTGGTTTGCAAAACAAAACAGAACCACCACCACCATCACAACAACAAAAGTTCAAAGGCTGCTAAAACCTTAAAGCTAATTGAAATTAAGAGACTAAACTCTTACCATCTAATTAAAGATAGTAAAAGTTCACCCTAGCCAGTGTTGCTCAGTGGTTAGAGTGTCGGGCCACGTACTGAAGGGTCATGAGTTCGATTTCCAGTCAAGGGCATATACATGGGTTGCAGGTTTGATCCCCAGCCCCAGTCAGGGTGAGTGCAGGAGGCAACCAATCAATGTGTTTTCTCGCACATTGATGTTTTTCTCTCTCTCTCTCCCTCCCTCCCTTCTGTCCTTCCACTCTCCCTAAAAATCAATGGGAAAAATATCCTCTAGTGAGGATTAACAAAGGAAAAAATAGTAAAAGTTCATCACAGAGTACACACGATATAGTAAACAATCAATACATGAAGATGTGAAAGTCCTAGACATGCTTGAGTAACAGAAAACTCTCAGAGTCTCTGTCATCCTTTCATTCAAGTACTTATTAAATCCCTTGTGGAAAAAAAACAATGTGTAGGGAAAAGATCAAAAGCTTTGGAATCAGAGAATCCAGGTTTTAGTTCTGGAATCAGGTTTTATTTCTGGCTCTCACTTAGAAGTAATGTGACTTTGGGCAATTTGCTTAACTTTTCCAGTGTTCAGATGCCTCAACAGTTCAATAGGAATGCCCTCTCCTACCCTGCATGGTGGCTGTGACAGGGATAATCATACAAATGTCACATAATGTGGTAAGGGTTTAGTGAGGTAATAGATATAAAGCCCCTTTCGTGTTAGAAACTCAAATTTAAGCTCTTTTCCCATATCAACTCCACAAAAATTTTGTCACTGTATAAAGGATTAAAATTAACTTTGAGAAACAGATATTCAAAATGAAAAAATAAGCACAACATAAGTTTATATCTACTTAAAGTGAACTATATAGAATATAACATTGTTTTTGGAAGGAATATAGCATTGTTTTTGGGAAGAAGGGAAAGGGAAGCATGCATGATTTCATAGTATCAAGATTAATTAATTGAGCCAGGTAATATACTTATTTTTTTCTTTTTTGGTAATATATACTTTAAAAGAACTCTTTGAGACTTGGGTGAAGTATGAAGAAAACAGGAAAATAATAATTAAAATAGAATATAACTATATAATTTGAAAAGTACTTTCATATTACTAACAAAATAATTCTACCTATTTTAAAAAGTTAGAATTTAGTAGTTATTGTTGAAATCACATAGCTTCCTTCATACTAAAAAGTAAAAAAAAAAAAAAAAAAAAAGATTTTGGAAATAAACCATTCTATTTCTAGATGAAAACAGAAGAGCCAGTATAAATTTGACATATAGGTAATGACAGAAGTTCCAATTGGAAAGGCAAACAATGGGGGGGGAAGCTTTCCTGTAAAAAAATAAAATAAAACACATTAACAGATGTAAGCTAAACCCATAAGATTACCGTTTTCAAAATATCACAGTTCAGTTGCTTCAGAAAACATTATTTTTCTTAGTAAGCATGAGATTTTTGCCTCGAAACAATTCTAGGAAATGTATATAACTTGCAACCACAGATGGGAAGCCTAAGTGGGTGTCAGCGTTCACCCACTTAGATAATGAACTGTCATACCTTACCTTGTTCATCACTGGATCTACTCCTGAATGTCTAATCTTAAACTATCAGGCCCAGGCCATGTGACACAGCTATACCCTTATGTTATGATTTACAGCCTTAATGCTGATCCATTTTTGAATTTACAAGTACTACATGTCAATGCTAGATCCATATGCTTCAAATAGTATTTATTTGCACGTAAAAGGTGTGTTCCAATGCTTTGTCTATTTGTTCATTTAATTTTCACAAATGGTTACACTGTTGTCTCACCATTAAGTTCATGTCTTTTTCCCACCAATTTAAAATACCACTTATCATACATTGAATTCCTGCATGATTTGAGACTGTTTTCGGACATTGTCTATTTTGTTGATCCAGAAATATGCTATCATCATAATTTTGAAAATTTATAGTATTATTATAATAATATTTCCCATTACTATTCCCTTTCAAAATGTTCCAGAAGAGATAATGACTTCCAGAATGGTGGATAAGGACCTTGGTGATCCCATTCTTCCTCAGAAACAATGAAAATACACGCAAAACAACCAAACAACTAAGATCAACCATTTCAACACTTTGTAAGTTAACCAAAATCCAGTACCCACTAAGAAGTGTCTATCCACAAAAATAACTGAACCTCAGTGAGACAGTGTTGTATTTATTTAAGGTTATTTACCTCTCCCTTCTCTCTCCAGCTCTGTAATAGGGTAAGTAAAAGCCAACAACACTGCAGACTAGAGATTTTTCCATTGATTTTTACATAGAGGAAGGGAGGAAGGGAGAAAGAAAAAGAAACATCGATGTGAATGAGAGAGACACATCATACCACCCTGATCAGGGGTGGGGATCTAACCTGCAACCCAAGTATATGCCCTTGACTAGGAATGGAACCCGACCCTTCAGTCCAAGGGCCAATGCTCTAACCGCTGAGCCAAACCAGCCAGGGCTAGGGAAGTGACATTTAAACTAAGAGCTAAGAATGAATATACATTAACTAAATGAATAGATAACTAAGGGAGAAAATACAGGAATTGAAACTAGAATATATAGAGGCCTTGAGATTGGAGAGAACAAGGTACAGTATAGAACTAAAGAAACCAGTACACCAACAATGTAACCACAAATCAGAATGTAGGAAACAAGGCTGGAAAAGTAGGCAGACTTTTTATTTATTTATTTATTTATTTATTTATTTATTTAATCCTCACCCGAGGACATTTTTCCATTTTTTGTTCAGATAGAGCGGGAGGGAGAGGGAGGAAGAGAGAGAGAGAGAAACATCGATGTGAAGGGACACATCGAGTGGCTGCCACCCGCACGACCAACCAGGGCCGGGGACAAACTGCAACCGAGGTACATGCCCTTAGCGGGAACCGAACCCGGGTCTCTCTGCACTGCAGGCCGATGCTCTAACCGCTGAGCCAAACCGTCCAGGGCCAGACTTTTTTTTTATTCTTCATCCGAGGGCATTTTTCTACTTATCAGATAGAGTGGGAAGGAGGGAGAGAGAGAGACAGACAGAAACATCGATGTGATAGGGCCACATCAACTGGTTGCCTGCCGCATGACCCGACCAGCACCGGGGACAAACCACAACCGAGGTACGTGCCCTTGACAGGAATTGAATCCACGACTCATTGGTCCAGGGCCAACGCTTCAACCTCTGAGCCAAACCAGCCAGGGCAGTAGGCAGACTTTTAAAACTTTTCAAGACTATGTTTTGGAGTTTGTTCCAGGAACAACAGGAAGCCAGTGAAGGATTCTGATCAAGGGAATGATAAAATAATAATTGCATTTTGAAAGTATCTATTCTCAAAGGTTCTGAACGTCGAGTCCACAGATACCAAAGGGTCTATACATAGAACCTAGGAGTCCATGAACTTGGATAAGGGCCAAAAAAAAATCTTCATTTTTCACTAATTTCTGAATAAAATTTAGCATTTCCTTCCATTATGAATATAGGCCCTTTCACATCATATTACAGTCAATGCAAAAATCTCAAAAGGAAAAAAATGGTTTTGTCCCCCATAATATCTTTACTTTAAAATCATGGAAGTTGCCCTGGCCAGTTTGGCTCAGCAGTTAGAGCACTGGCTCGTGGACCAGCGAGTCCTGGGTTCGGTTCCCACTAAGGGTACATACCTCAGTTGCAGTTTGTCCCCAGCCCCAACTGGAGTCGTGTGGGTGGCAACCACTCGATGTGTCTCTCTCTGTTCTGCTCTATCTGAAGATAAGTGCAAAAATAAATAAATAAATAAAATCATGGAAGTTTTGGAAGCACTATTAGATCTTGCTATTTAACGCATTAATAATGTAGCACATATATTACAATATCAGAAGTTTTTCTAAAAATAGTATTTTGATAACTTTATTGGTCTCCTTTGTAGTTTTACATTTAAAATGTCATTGTCAGAAGGAGTCTATAGTTTAACCAGATGCCAAGGGGTACATGTCATAAAATAAGTTTAAGAATCCCTACAGAGGGTAAGAAATAAGGAGATACAGAGAAAAGGACAAGAGAAGGTGGAGAAATAAGCAATACTTTTTTACTTTAAAACATATCATAAACATTTTACTGTGTTATTAAAATTTTTCCCAAAATAACTAAATACAGGATTACTTTTTTCTGATAGTCATTTTACAAAATATAGAAAAAAATTTTAAAGTCCTAAGGAGCCCAGCCAGTGTGGCTCAGTTGGTTGGGCATCATCCTGTGCACCAAGGGGTTGCTGGTTCAATTCCCAGTCAGGGAACATGTGCAGGCTGTGGGCTCAATTCCCAGTAGGGCATGTGCAGGAGGGAGCCAGTCTATGTTTCTCTCTCTCTCTCCCTCTCCCTTCTTCTCTCTCTAAAATTCAATAAAAACATACTTTTTAAAAAAAGTCCTAACGAAAACATAACTTTTTTTTTTTATCCTCACCCGAGGACATTTTTCCATTTTTTATTCAGATAGAGAGGGAGGGAGAGAGAGGAAGAGAAAGAGAGAAACATTGACGTGAAAGGGAAACATCAAGTGGCTGACACCCGCACGACCCAACCAGGGCCAGGGACAAACTGCAGCCAAGGTACATACCCTTAGCAGGAACCGAACCCAGGTCTCTGTGGACCGCAGGCTGATGCTCTAATCACTGAGCCAAACCGGCCAGGGCAAAAACATAACCTTTTAATACTATTTCTTAACCAGTGATAATCATGTTTAATATTTTAAAATACCTTTTTTTTTTTTTTTTATCATTCTAGTCTTTTCTGTGCACAATAGAATTTTAATCAGTGTCATAAGATATGTGTAATTTTAGAGTGCTTTTTTTTTTATTTATCATTATGTTATTAGCACTTTTTTTATCCTCACCTGAGATATGCTTCTCTCTTGCTGCAATGTTTCTCTCTCTCTTTCTGTCTCCCTCCCTCCCTTTCTCTAAAATCAATAAAAAACAGCCCTGGCCGATTTGGCTCAGCGGTGAGAGCATCAGCCTGTGGTCCAGAGAGACCTGGGTTCAGTTCCTGCTAAGGGCGTGTACCTCGGTTGCAGTTTGTCCCAGGCCCTGGTTGGGTCGTGCGGGTGTCAGCCACTGGATGTGTCCCTTTAACGTCGATGTTTCTCTCTCTCTCTTCCTCTCGCTCCCTCCCACTCTATCTGAACAAAAAATGGAAAAAAATGTCCTTGGGTGAGGATAAAAATAAGTAAATAAATAAAATAATATAAATAAAATCAATTAAAAACAGCCCCACCGGTATGACTCAGTGGTTGAGCATCGACCCATGCACCGGGAGGTTGCTGGTTCAATTCCCAGTGATGGTGCATGTCCAGGTTGTAGGCTCGATCCCCAGTAAGGGGCATGCAGGAGATAGCCAATCAATGTTTCTCTCTCATTGATGTTTCTCTCTCTCTCTCTCCCTCTCCCTCCCTTTCTTTTTAAAAATCAATAAAAACAGCCCGGCCAATGTGGCTCAGTGGATTGAGTGTCCTCCCATGGACTGACAGATCTCCGTTTGATTCCTGGTCAGGGCATATGCCCAGGTTTTGGGCTTGATCAATAGCAGGAGGCGTGTAGGAGACAGCAGATTGATGTTTCTCTCTCACATCAATGTTTCTATCTCTCTCTCCCTTCCTCTCTCTCTCTGAAAAATCAATAAAAACATATTTGAAAAAATAAATAAGTAAAAACATTAAAATGTTTTTTTAAAAATAAAATAAAAAAACATTTTTAAAAAGTATATAAAATTGTACATACGGCATGATCTCAACTATATGTATATCTTTAGGAAAATTATGGGTGATTTCTTTATAATGTTAGATTTCCCATGTTTACTAAAGCAAGCATATATTACTATTTTATTATAAATTATATTATATCGCAAGGGCTCAGAGGAATGAATTAGCTTTGGACAGAAGGAAGGATTCTTTAAGATTTAAAATGAAAAGAAAGGACAAGGACTAAGATGGATAGAGTTTGTTGGTAGGGGAATAGGACATGAGAGAGTTCACATGGAAGGGACTCTATAAACTCAGCAAAGCAGGAGGAAAGGATATCTACAGCAAGTGAAGAGGGTGGGTAGGTTTGGAACAATCCTATGAAGACACAGAGAACTGACAGAATGCACACAGGGTTCAAGTAAGGTTCTCTGTGTACAAAAAGGAAATGGTATTAATTAGTATTATTTTCAAACTTTGTAAATCATTTGTGGAGCTTCTTAAAAATGTCAGATACCCCTCCCAGTGATTAAGTTCATTCAAGCAGAGTCCAAGTAATCTACATGTTTACAAGAGAGAGTGTTTCAGGTAAGCTCAAGCTATGTTTCAGGAAACAGTGGTTGAGTCTGAGCTGAAAACAAATGACAAATCTATTGAGATAGAAAATTTTTTCAGGTTCTCTCAACTCCCATAATTTCAATTTATATAGGGAGTCTAGGTGTTAAGTTTTTTGTTTGTTTGTTTTGTTTTAGAATTTCAGGAGAATAAAGATCAGCTTAGAAAGACAGGTAAGAAAAAGTCACAAGGACAAGACACACAATAGTCAAAAAATACATTATTATCTGTATTGCAGCACTTCAGGCCAAAATACTCTTCACCTTACCTTTAGCAGGAGAACAAAATTACTCTGCAGAGAATTAGTCACACCATTTTCACACAATTTTTTTCTTGTGTAGTTTTCACTCACATTCCCACCACTAGATTGATACCGTAATAATGACTTCAGCATGGTTTCAAAAGGGTCCGCTGAAACAGACAAATTAAACATTTCTAAGTCAAAGTAATCACTCAAAAAAAAAAATCTCCACAAAAAAGACATAGAGATCAGGGAAGTATGGGAGTGTAGCTGAAAGCATGGCAGCTTTTTTTTCACAACTCACTTAAAGTCTTTCTTAAATATGAAAAGTTAAAGAGGCAATGAAAATTGGCAAGAATACAATATCCTAACTGGGAATTCCATTAATAAAAAATAAATACATAAATTTTCTATCTACATGACAACATCTCTGACTCCTAAAAAAAAGTTTATTCCACTGATTTTAAAGCAAAATTGATGACTGTGATTTTAAAGCAAAATTGATGAAGTATTAGAGTTAAAATTATTTAGCTGAGTTCAAAAATTTCTTTTCCTCTTTATTCATTATTTGAAGTGTTTCTTTAATGACTTTGTTTTCATACACACACACACAAACACATTGTCATGGTAAACAATTAAAACACAGTAAAATACAAAGAAGAAAGTAAAACATCTAAATCTCACTGTAAACATTTCAGAGACTTTTTTAGAGCTGTTAATATCTCTTAACAAACAGAGTTCACAGAGAACTATAGTCCCTTCTTTCAGAGCACTTGTCTCAGTTCATTAGTGTGATCATCTCAATGCTGTTTACATGCTTCCCCTACTCCCAAACACTAAACTATAAACTCCATAGGAGCAGAGACCACATCTGGTTTTACTCAGCACTGTATTTCCTGACAGAGCCATCTTTCTATGTTGTGGAAAGTTTAGTGATTAAGAGCACGAACTCAGGCCAGACTGCCTACCTTCAAGTCCCAGCTTCCTCCAGCACTAATTTGTGGTGTGAACTTGGGCAAATGACTTAACCTCACTTAACCTCAATTTTGTCCTTTGTTAAATGAGAATAACTATAGTACCCACTTCATAAGGTTGTTCTGAGGATTAAATGATTTAATATTTATAAAGAGTTTAGAATAATAGTGCTGGCATATATTAATTGCTATACAAGTACTTGATAACCAAAATAAATCTGTATCATTATTGTAGGCCTGAAAGTAGTATTAAAAGTATTCTTTTATGCAGCCATTGATAAGTATTTATTTGCTTCAAATTTTTATTATTAATAATGCTAATGTCTTTTCTCATTTGTGATGATCAAATCATGATAAATTCCTGAAGATTATAATTGCTAAGTCAAATGTCACTGCCAACCTTCTCTCTAGAAAATTTATAAAACATGCCCAGCCAGTGTGCCTCAGTGGTTGAGCATCGACCCATGCACAAAGAGGTCACCAGTTCGATTCCTAGTCAGGGCACGTGCCCAGGTTGTGGGCCTGATCCCCAGTGGGGGGCATGTAGGAGGCAGCCAATCGATGTTCTCTCTCATTGATGTTTCTCTCTCTCTCTCCCTCTCCTTTCCTCTCTCTCTAAAATCAATAAAGAAGAAAAAAAATTTTTAAGTGGTTTTACTGGTTTAAAAGATCTGATTATTTTTAAAAAAAGTAAGTTTGTAAAACATTTATACTCCATGTTTCTCCATTATGCCCTCATCAAAAATGAGTTTTGTCAATATTTTTTCTCTTTAGTCAGAGAGGGGAAAATCTCATTTTTATTTGCATTTTACTGATTATTAGTGAGGTTGAAATCTTTTTTCTTTTCTTTTTTTTAGAGAGAGATGAAGGGAGAGTGATAGAAACATTGATGTGAGAAAGAACCATTGATCAGCTGCCTCCTGCACACCCCTACTGGGGATTGAGCCCACAACTGGGCCTGTGCCCTGACTGGGAATCAAACCAGGACCAGTCAGTCCACAGGACCACACTCAATCCACTGAGCCACACCAGCCAGGCTGAAATGTTTTCTTAATGGCCATTTATATTTCTTCTTTTTTTTTATCCTCACCTGAGGGCATTTTTTTTTTCATTTTTTGTTCAGATAGAGTGGGAGGGAGAGAGAGGGAGAGAGAGAGAGCGAAACATCGACATGAAAGGGACACATCGAGTGGCTGCCATCCGCACGACCAACCAGGCCTGGGACAAACTGCAACCCAGGTACGCGCCCTTAGCGGGAACCGAACCCGTGTCTCTCTGGACCGCAGGCCAACGCTCTAACTGCTGAGCCAAACCAGCCAGGGCTATTTCTTCTTTCTTAATTACCTTGATTTTACCCATTTTTCTACAACTGCGTTTTATTTTTTTCTTTTTAGTTATTTTTTACATTTTTATTAATTTTTTAATCCTTACTCGAGGGTATGTTTATTGATTTGAGAGAGAGAGAAATATTGATGTTTAAGAAAGGAACTTCAATTGGTTGCCTCAAATATGTGCCCCGACCAGGGGTTCGAACCTACAACCTAGTTATGTGCCCTGACTGAGAATCAAACCCACAACCTTATTGGTATATGGAACAATGAGCCAACCAACTGAACCACCAGGCTGGACTTTCTTACAGTCTTTGTTTACTTTGTAAATATATGGTGGAAAATAGTTTTCCCATTTCTTTTAAACTTTTTCATGACATCTTTTTATTTTACAGAAATAAAGCCAGCAATTAATACATACTATGTAGAGTAATGAGTGGCCAACATTTTCCCATTTCTCTTTTTCAAGGTGTTTCTATTATACTAAATTTTTTCATTTTTATGTAGACACACTTATCCAACTTATGCTTGATCGTTCCTCAATCTCAAGTCATAGTAAGGAAGGGTTTGTTGATACCACCCTCAAAATTTTAATATTTAACCATGTTTTTTTCTACCACTTTTATGACTCCACATTTTAATCATTTGGAAATTATTTTGATATAAAGAGTAAGGGAGATTTTTTTCCCAAATAGCTAACCAGTTTTCCCAATACCATTTATTAGCTTTCCCCTTATCATAAAATGCTATCTTTATCATGTATACTTGGTTTGTCCCCTAGAGTACTGACTCTATTCCATTAGTCTGTCTAGTCCTATCACAGTGCAAGATTCTTTAAATTAATCTAGCTTAATAATATCCTTTTCTGTTTGATGGTAGAGGTATTCCTCTCATTAATATTCTTTTCTAGATGTTTCCTGGCTGCTCATGTATATCTATTCTTCCAGATGTACCCTAGAATTATTTTTTCAGGGTCCCCAAAAAATTGACATTGGAATTTATACACACACACATTAAATAATCATTTTACAAAATTGTGTCTTAAATGAGATAATAAATATAAAGACTTCAGTACAATGCCTGGCACATGGTATAAAGCATTCAATAAATGTCAGCTATTTCTATCCAAGAACAATGTATGGTTCTTTATTTACAGACAGTTATTCCTTTTTTTTTTTAATCCTTACCTGAGGACATTTTTGCATTTATCTTTAGATAGAGCGGGAGGGAGAGAGGGAGGAAGAAAGAGAGAGAAACATCCACGTGAGAGAGACATTTCGACTGGTTGCCACCCACACTACCCAACTGGGGCCGGGTACAAACTGCAACAGAGGTACATGCCCTTAGCGGGAACCAAAACCGGGACTCTCTGGTCTGTGGGCCGACGCTCTAACCGCTGAGCCACATCGGCCAGGGCCAGACAGTTATTCTTAAAAGATAAAGATCAGTTAATTAGAAAGAAAATTAAACTTACATGTCTTATTGGGGTTGATATGCTGCTTCAGTACATCAACAGTGCCCAAACTAACCACAGGGCGCCTGCCAAACCAGAAAGAAACCACAGGCCCATATTTCTCATGCAGATTAACCAGGAACTCATGCAAACTTCCACTGTTCACAATATCTGGAAGATTACCATCTCTGAGAAAAGAGCAACATTTGACAAAATAATCAATTTAACTTGGAAGAATCAGAAAAGCAAATAACTATGTCAAAAGAGGAGACCAAAGGTACATGAAATTCAATAACTGCAAAATCCAAAACTCAATTATATTTGACTTCTTGCTTTCTGAAGACATATTTATATATGGATTTATCTGATATTTTGAGAGTTCATAACACTCCAAACCAAGTAAGAAAGGTACACAAGAAACATCTGACTTAGAAACTGGAAAACAACCCAATTTTTGCAGCACCTCATTCTGAGGTAGCAATGATCATCATCATAAGGTAATGAAAAACATCAGATTAGCTATAGCAATTTTCACTTTGTCCCTTCTATCTTAATCCTGTCTTTCTATTTTCAACTTTCTCTGGCTAGGGGAAATGAAAGCAATCAAAGGTTTAATTTAGTCAACCCTTCTTTCTGTTCTTAATTAAGTTTAGGTTGTATGCTAAGAGGTAAGCTGAGAGTAAATAAAGGAATTAAATAAACTGAGTAATATAAAAATTTGGTTTAGTTTCCATACCATTCCAATTAAGAGTTGACTCTACCTGATTCCAAAAAAATAATTACTCACTTTTCTTCAGTTGGAGTGATCCCTGGAATTCCTGCAGCTTGTCTGGAAGCCTTAAAGAAAAATTTTTAAATAGTTTATTTAGTATAATGAATTATCATACATCCCAAAGTCAGATGTGTTTTGCCAAGACATCTGCAGGACCTTAAGTGATAGCTTTTCAATTCGGTTGAATCTCAGGAATTATTTCTATGTTAAATACAAAAACTGGGTTCTCTGTATTTAAAAGAAGTATCTTAATATCTTTCCTCTGTGTCAATTAATCTAAGGGGTTTAAAGAATTTAGCATCCATCCTATAAAATTAATACATAATCAAGCACATTTTCCTTTGTTCAGTGTCTATGTTTCCATCTGGCTTGGCTTAAAAAATAATGTCTTGTTTATAATAGTTTGAGTCCTAAAATAGTTCTCTTTCTAGTCAAAGAATTTATCAAAATACAATATGATATTCATCTTTTGCTTTAATAGTCATTATTATCAGGGTCAAAGAGGGTGGTGTCTGGTATAGAAATAAATAACAAAATAATTTATAGCAAAATGTTCAAATGACAAACTTTAAGAAATGAATGGGGGCCCAGCCGGTGTGGTTCAGTGGAATGAGCATCTTCCCCTGGACTGAGAGGTCCGAGATGGATTCCCAGTCAGGGCACATGCCCAGGCTCCATCACCAGAATGGGGCGTGCAGGAGGCATCTGATCAATGTTTCTTTCTCCTCGGTGTTTCTATCTTTCTCCCTCTCCCTTCCTCTCTCTCTAAAATCAATAAAAACATTTTTTTAAAAAGAAATGAAGTGGGGAGAAGTCTGGAGAATTTAAATTTTTTATAATTTTATACCAGGTTTATGGTTGCTGTGTTTGGGGTCAGTGTTATTTTTTATTTTACAACCATGTCACTTTTATAATAAGACTTTATAAAGTAATTTTTAAATAAACTATTTATAAAAAATAACCTAAAATGTTCAATTCTAGAATCAATTCTGAATTTTGACAATGAGTTTTTTACTAGTACTAATCAGAATTTATCTATTTGGCATATTCTACTTAACATTATGTACATAAAGGAATCTTGTTCATTTATTTGGACATTTAAAGGCTAAACTATGTTCTATCATGTAGCCAGAATTGCTTAATCACCTTCCTACTATACTATTGTAAAATATCTGGGCTCTTTTCTTTATTTTTTTCATTATTATAAGTAGTGTTATGAAAATCTTTGTGCTTCATTTTTTACTCCTTGGGGTATGTATGCCAAAAGAGAAATACTAGGTTAAAGGGCACTAACTGAAGAGTTTTACAGTTTCTACTAATTACTGCAAGAATGCTATCTAGACAACAGTATGTGTACCTTGCATTTAACTAATAGCATTGAAACTCACAATAAATAATTTTGTCCCATGGTCTCATCAATAATGAGTATTTTTCAAGTTTAATATTAGAAATAGTGGGGAAAAGGATGGATGGAACCCCGTAACTTGAAAAAGAAAGTCAGTGGTATAAAAAATTTCTATTTTTGTCCAGGCAGGTGTGGCTCAGTTGGTAAGAGCATCCCTGATACACAGAAGGGTTTCAGGTTTGATTCTGGTCAGGGCACCTACAGGAGGCAACTGATCCATGTTTCTTTCTCTCTCTCTCTCTCTCTCTCTCACTCTCCCTCCCTTTTCACTCTCTCTAAAAAAATAAATAAATAAAAATCAATGTATACCCAGCTGGTGTGACTCCCAGTCAGGGCACATGCCTAGGTTTCTGCCATCCTCAGTAGGGAACATGCAGGAGGCAGCCAATTGATGTTTCTCTGCCATAGATGTTTTCGATCTCTCCCTCTCCCTTCCTCTCTCTGAAACCATTAAAGACATTTTATATATATTAACAATGTATTTTATTTTTTTATTGATTTTAGAGAGAGAGAAACTTCTATGAACGAGAATATTAACCGCCTCCTGCAGCATGCCCCCCACTGGGGCTTGGGCCCACAACCTGGGCATGTGCCCTGACCCTGAATCGAACTGGTGACCTCTTGGTGCATGGGTCCACGCTCAACCACTGAGCCACACCGCCGGGCTATATATTAACAATTTAAGAAATCAATCGGAAAATATCCTGGGGTGAGGATTAACAAAAAATAAATTAAAAAAAATTCAAGACCTGGAGGCACTAAGCGTCGTAACTTCTCAGAAAATAAGATACACCGGAAATTCCAGATTGTGTAGTTGTAACATTTCAGTCTAATCTATTTACCAGATGTGAAAGTGTTTACGGTGTTCCGTCATTCTCGGTGATGTATTTGGTGCTGTTCAGCTACTTCACAACTTTTTCTATCAAACCACCACTTTGCTTTGTAGAACACGTTTTAACGACGATTCCTTTGTTTTCTGAACCACCCTCCGAGATGGACAGAGGCAAGTAGAGAAAGGAGGTTAGCAGGAGATTCAGAGATACTGCACAGTGGCCCCGTCAAGCTCGAAGGGATCAGTAGATGGATGGAAAGGCAGACGACAGACACACACAGACTGGGAGAATCCCCGGAAAAGGAGGGAGTGGCGCACCCAGCAGTTTCCTCCCAGACACGCTAGAAAATGAAATCTGGGTTTGGTAGAGTTACTGCCAAAGAGCCACACTAAGTACTTAAGACACCCTTGCCAGGGCGTAGAAAGGGGCCCGCGGTTTCTCGGCTCCTCCGCGCCGGCACAGCTGAGCCGCCCGCCCGCTTCCCCGAGGCCTCAGCGGTCCTCGGGCCGCCGCGCCGCTCTCGACTCCGGCTCCGCGCGCTGAGCGCGGCGTCCGTCACGTGCCCGGAGCGCGGCCCCCGCGCCGGGCGGGAGCAGGAGCCAGAGCCCTCCCCTCAGGCCCGCCCCCTGAGGCCCGCTGCCGGCGGAAAGACGTGGCTGCGGGCCGGACCGATCCTGGGGCGTCGACCAGAGCCCCTGAGGGCCCAGACAGCGGTTACCGGGTAGAGGTAGAGCACTGCTGCCACCAACGCCAGCAAGAAGGTAACGGCGAAGATCGCGAAGTCCAACATGGTCTTCCGCCCGGGAGCCACGTCTCGGTTTCCAGGCTCGGACGGCGGCGCCTCTGCCTGGCCGGACCTGCGGAACCAGCATGTGGGCGAGGCGCCCCGCGGGACTGGCGAGCGAATGGGTCGCGGGGGCGTGGCCAAGGCCTGGCCTGGGACTGGCGGGAAGAGCAATGGAGTACGGAGGGGTGGCGGCGGAGCCGAAGCCCCAGCTGCTGCCGGTGCCCAGCCGCAGCCGCAGTCCTGGGCGGGGTTACGGTGGCCACGACTACAGGACCCGCCCACGGATGGAGTTCCTGGGGAAAGCGGAGCCCAGGCTGCTAAAAAACATTAGGAGTTGTCATCGTTCTGCCCCGACCAACACTTTTTCCAATGGATTTAAGATGACAGCCTCTGGAACAATGAGTGATTCTCCCAGTGTGGCCCCCGGGCTAGCCAGCAGCAGCAGCAGCAGATGCCAGGGAACACCCCAGACCCACAGAATCATACACTCCGGGAGGGAGGGTGCACAGCAATCAGTGTTTTAACAAAGCTGTTAAAACGAACCAGTGAGAGCCACTGATCTAAGGTAATCTAAACAGGGAAGTGTCAGAAACAAGCACCTTTAGATGTGCCTTGTTTAGCAAAAGAGTGTACCTTCGAAGTGGTAGGAAATGTGATTCCGTAAGATGTCCTGGCCCCGCTAGATTTTAAATAAATCGATTTAATTTCCCAGGCTTCTATTTTTGTGTAAAATAGTGGAAATGATACCATACAGATGGCCCGTAAGGTTAAATCAGATATTTCACTTAGCACAATTATCCAATATTTTATTTTGCACCGCTCCTGCAAAAGTGGCATTTACTTTAGTGTTCTGAGATCCTCTCTTCCTCTATTTCACATGAGTTTTGACATGGATAATGTAAGGCAAAGCCCACTATTTACTGCTGCTCCATTTAGTGAAAGTGACCTATAAGTTATAGATTTTATAGTTTTAGTAATGTAAAGTGACCAACGGGGGGGAATGGGCAGCAATTCAGCAAAAGAAAATTCCAGATTGCATTTTGGAATTTACGTGATAAATTATTTATTTTATGACTATGAATGAAACATATTGAAAATGACGTCTTTTGGCATCTGACAAGATCATGCACATTCAGGGTGGTATGGTGGTAGATTCTTGGCATCTGTAGCAAATGTAACAGAACATTATTTGAGATTTAATCTGGCAGAAAGTATACTTTTAACTCTACTTCTCTGCCCACAAATATGTTTCAAAAGTTTATTTTTCAGTATCTTCTTTGGAATTTTTTAAAAAGTTTTTTTAGGCCTGAGAGAGTTGCTCAGTGGATTGAGCGTTGTCCCATGGTCTGAGAGGTCCTGGTTCAATTCCCCATTCCACTCCCAGTGAGGGCACATGCCTGGGTTTTGGGCTCAATACCCAGGAGGCATGCAGGAGGCAGCCTATGGATGTTTCTCACATTGATGTTTCTATTTCTCCCTTCCTCTCTCTCTCTAAAAAAATCCATAAAAACATACTTTATTAATTTATTTTTATTACAGATGTTTCTCCTTTTTTTCCCCATTGACACCCTCCTCCCCATCCTCCCCACCCCGTCCCCGGCTTTGTTTTCCATGTCCATAGATTATGCGTACATGTATATAAATTCTGGGGTTTAGCTCTTTCCTAATCCCCCACCCCCTCTTCTGAGGGTTGTCAGTCTGTACCCTACTTCCACGTCTCTGAGTCTACCCTGTTCCTCAGACTGTTATGTTCATTATATTCCACAAATAAGTGAGATCATGTGATATTTGTCTTTCTCTGCTTGGCTTGTTTCACTTAGGATAATACTCTCCAGGTCCCTCCATGTCGTCTCAAAGGGTAGGAGATCTTTCTTTCTTACAGCTGCATAGTACTCCATTCTGTATATGTACTAGTGCTTTTTTATCCATTCGTCTACTGATGGACACAGGCTGTTGCCAGATCTCAGCTATTATAAATAGTGCTGCTATCAATAAAAACATACTTTAAAAAAAAGTTTTTTAATCATGAATGGCTGGTACATTATTTTATTGATTTTTTTTTTTTTTTAAGGGAGAGAGAAACAACGGTGGTTGCTTTCAGCACATCTCGACCAAGGATCAAAACCTGGCTATGTACCCTGACCGGGATGGAACCTGCCACCCTTAGTGCACAAGACAACACTCCAACCCTGAGCCACACTAGCCAGGGATCAGTCCCTTCTTTGGATTTTGAAATTTCCCATTGAAAACATGTTCTAAACAAGTTTTCAAGAGAGTAAATATCAGGTTTTAAAATACATAATGTTGCTGCATAACCGTAACCCTAGCCCTAGGCACCAATCCTCCAGAATATCTGGACTCACTCCCCTTTTAGTCCTAAAAGAACCATTTTAGTCCTAAATTAGCCTGAAATGCTCTGAACTTTGAGGGTCTGTGAAAAGGGGACAGAAATTACAGAGGTTGAGCAAGGCATAGTATTTTAGAAATTGGGTCTCTAAAACTATGCAACCACCTCCTCTTAGTTTCTTCAAACTTTTGCCTAAATGCTTCCTAAAAGTATTTTTGAAAAACCGTATATATGTATATACTTTCACACAATTTTATGTTGACATCTAAAATTTTTATCTTCACTTTGATTCAATTTCTTATAAGAATTATGCTATATTGTAAATAATCACATTCTGAAATTATCTTTTAAATGTAAAAAAGGAATTTAAATACTATAGTGATGTGATGACTATCATCAAACTTTTTTAAAAAATAATTTTTCCTTTATTGATTTTAGAGAGAGAGGAGGGAAGAAAGAGAGAGGTAGAGACATCAATGAGTGAGAACATCGATTGCCTGCTTCTCACATTTTCCCCACCTGGGGGGATCAGGCCGACAACCTGGGCATGTGTCCGATCAGGAATCGAACCAGCGAACTCTTGATGCATGGGTCAACGCTCAACCACTGAGCCACACCAGCCGGGTTCATCAAGTACAGTACTTTTTTTCTTCTTTATTGATTTTTAGAGAGAGGAAGGAAGAGGGAGATAGAGACAGAAACATCAATGAGAGAAAACATTGATTGGCCGCCTCCTGCATGTCCCCCACTGAGGATTTGGCCCACAACCTGGGCATGTGCCCTGACTGGGAATTGAACTGGGAATTTTAGTGCCTCTTTCCTGATGGGTGCTCTCTGTTGGCTGTTAATATGTTAAGTAAAATATTTCCATATTTCTTTCCAACTCCCATATGTTTATCTATATAACTCTGTCCCAGACCTTTTTGTACCCAATCTTAAATTTTTTTTTCTATTCATACCTCTGACCAGTTGGCCAGGCCTTTCATCACTGCCCATAATTCTATGTATATCCTCACCCTGTGCTGCTTTTCTTTTCACCCTAGGTGCACCACTAAAGATATGCCCACTGCCCTGGCCAGTTTGGCTCAGCGGTTAGAACGTCGGCCTGCGGTCCAGAGAGACCTGGGTTCGGTTCCCACTAAGGGCACGTACCTCGGTTGCAGTTTGTCCCCAGCCCTGGTTGGGTCATGTGGGAGGCAGCCACTCGATGTGTCCTTTTCACATCAATGTTTTTCTCTCTCTCTCTCTCTCTCTCCCTCTCTCTCTCCCTCTCCCTCTCTCCCTCCCTCCCACTCTATCTGAACAAAAAATGGAAAAATATCCTCGGGTGAGGATAAAAAAGAAAAAAAAAAAGATCTGCCCACTGAAATGGTTTTCCCTTGTCACCATCTTTCAAGACTGCCCATAAATAAAGCTTCAGTTCAGCTGCTACCCATTTTTAGCCTTACCCACATACTGAGCCATCCCATTTGCAAATCAAACTTGGGCTTTTTTCTCCTCCTCCATCTGGTCATATAGGGTCACCCACAAAACCAAATGTGTTAGTTGAAGAAAGAGCACTGGTGTAATAGCAGTTGATACTATGGAAATCTGTATCATGCTTGCCTCTACCCTGTAGTTATTAAGACTTGGTGGTCTGATGAGACCTAGCTGATGATAGCCAGTGTTGGGAAAATGAGTTCTGGACATACGTTTCCAAGGATTTTGTACAGCAAACCTTGGAAGGTAGAGATAGTCTCCTTCTGGAATATAAGACAAGTTTGCTTACTTGTCAGTATAGCAATGGCTCCCTCCAGGGCAAAGGTCAGGCGAGTTTGCTTGCAGTCCATTATAAAAGATTCAACTTCTCTAATCTCAGATTCTTCGCCTATGACATGATTGTGAAATGCTGTCTTATGATTTCTTCTAGAAGTTTATAGTTGTAGCAGGTTTTATATTTAGATCTATAATGCACTTCAAGTTAGTTTGTAAGGTAAAGGTGAGATCATTTTTTCCATATGAATAATGAGTTCTAACACCATTTGTTGGAAAGACTGTTCTTTCCCCATTGAATAATGTTGGCACATTTGTAGACAGTCAGTTCATTACATACATATGGATATATCTAAAGGGCTTCTATTTTCTTCCATCTAACTACATGTCTCTCCTTGTGTCTAGATTACTATAGCTCTATAGTAAGTCTTGAAATCAGAGAATGTAAGCTTTCCAACTCTGGTTTTCTTTTTCAAATTGTTTTGGCTAATCTGGATCCTTTGCATTTCTGTATAACATTAAAAATCAGATTTCAGTTTCTTCAAATCTCATTTAGTTTTTCAAAATTTCTCAACTCTTTCGTAGTCATGCAAATACTTTATTACATTGACCACTATTTCATATTTTTCAAATAAATTGTATTGTTTTGAACCTGAAGTTTTCATTACTAGTATATAGAACGCGAACCTCTTTTTGTATATTGACGTTGAATCCTGTGACTATGCTAGGCTCATTTATTTATTTATTTATTTATTTATTTTTTTATCCTCACCCGAGGATATTTTCCATTTTTTGTACAGATAGAGTGGGAGGGAGAGAGAGGAAGGAGAGAGAGAGAAACATCGACGTGAAGGGACACATCGAGTGGCTGCCACCCGCACGACCAACCAGGGCCGGGGACAAACTGCAACCGAAGTACGCGCCCTTAGCGGGAACCGAACCCGGGTCTCTCCGGAC